GCCCAGTATGGTCCCGGTGCCCGGTACGGTCCCAGTGCCCAGTGTGGTCCCGGTGCCCGGTGTGGTCCCGGTGCCCGGCGTGGTCCCGGTGCCCGGTGCAATGTTCCCCCCTACCAGTGCAGTACTAGATGCAGTGCCTCACCCCCGGTGCAGTATCCCACCCCCGGTGCACTCCCGGTGCCCGGTGTGGTCCCGGTGCGCAGCACGGTCCCGGTGCCCGGTCCAGTCCCGGTGCCCGGTGCGGTGTCCCACCACCACTGCACTACTCGATGTAATGCCATATGCCCTGTGCAGTCCCGGTGTAATATCCGCTCCCCGGTGCGCTCCCGGTGCCGGTGCCCGGTCCGGTGCCCGACCTGCAGTCCCAATTCCGCCGCCAGGGGGCGCCCCGCGCTCCCCGGCAGCGCCGAGGGGGGTCGGCGCCGTCAAACACACTCGGCTCCTTCCGGAAATACTCGGGCAGGGAGGGGCGGGGCCCCGATGGCTGCCGACGGCGGGGGAAGGGGCGGGGCTTGGTCCCGGTGCCCGGTCCAGTCCCGGTGCCCGGTGCGGTGTCCCACCACCACTGCACTACTCGATGTAATGCCATATGCCCGGTGCAGTCCCGCTGCAATATCCCGTCCCCGGTGCGCTCCCGGTGCCCGGTCCAGTCCCGGTGCCCGGCCCGGTGCCCGACCTGCAGTCCCCATTCCGCCGCCAGGGGGCGCCCCGCGCTCCCCGGCAGCGCCGAGGGGGGTCGGCGCCGTCAAACACACTCGGCTCCTTCCGGAAATACTCGGGCAGGGAGGGGCGGGGTCCCGATGGGTGCCGACGGTGGGGGAAGGGGCGGGGCTCTTGAGGCTTCGGGTGGATTCGCTCCTCTTCGGCTTCACTGCACTACTCGATGTAATGCCATATGCCCGGTGCAGTCCCGCTGCAATATCCCGTCCCCGGTGCGCTCCCGGTGCCCGGTCCAGTCCCGGTGCCCGGCCCGGTGCCCGACCTGCAGTCCCCATTCCGCCGCCAGGGGGCGCCCCGCGCTCCCCGGCAGCGCCGAGGGGGGTCGGCGCCGTCAAACACACTCGGCTCCTTCCGGAAATACTCGGGCAGGGAGGGGCGGGGTCCCGATGGGTGCCGACGGTGGGGGAAGGGGCGGGGCTCTTGAGGCTTCGGGTGGATTCGCTCCTCTTCGGCTTCTGTCGGGTCTTTCCGGGGGCGGGTTCGGATCGTTCCGGCGACGTTCGGGTCCTTTCCCAGGCTGCCGCCGGGCTGGGAGGCAGGAGCGGGCTGGAGGCGAGCGGCGGCGGATGGGGCCGGCGGAGAGGTGGGACGGGGCCGGGGGTGAGGGGGAACGGGGCCGGGATCGAGGGGAGAGAGGGCGGTCGGGATCGGAACAAGACCCAGGGCCTGGCGGGCGGGCCGGCGCCGGGAGCCGCGGTGAGCGCGGCCCCTCAGCCTGAGGGGCCTTGGGGGCCTCAGCGGGCCCCCCCTCCCGGGCTGAGGCCTTGTCCCCTCCCGGGCTGAGGCCTTGTCGCCTCCCCGGGGACAGCACCTTGTCCCCTCCCCTGGTGCCAGGGCAGTGTCACCCCCTGGGCCGTGCCACCCCCAGGCTGGCCCTGTTCCCCCCCCCACCTCCTCAAGGTGCCAGGGGAAGGTCTCCAGTGCCAGGGCTGTGTCCCCCTCCGTGGTGCCAGGGCTGTCCCTGTCCCCTCCCTGTGCAGGGGCTGCACCCCCTGATCCCCCTCAGGCTGTGTCCATCCCCAGCAGTGCCAGCAAAGGGACCTCAGTGCCATCCACCCCCCTCAGCGCAGGGACCCTGCAGCCCCCATCCCTGGGGGTCCTGGGCCCCCTCTGTGGGTGCCAGAGGGGGCTGTCAGGGCTCCAGGCCGGGCTGGGGGCTTGGACCCACCGCTGTTCTGCCCCAGCAGAGCCCAGCCTGGAGCTGGGTGACCCAGGGATGCCCCTGTCCCTCTGGATGTGCCAGAGCCCGGCCCGGGGTGGCTGTGGCTTTGCTGGCTCTAGACACAGTTGCCCCCCAAACCCTGGCTCTGGGATGGTGCTTTCCGATGAGGTTTGTGCCCTGTGGCTTTTCTAATTCAGGGGATATTTCTCAGCCCCTTGAATCGGACGCTTCCCATGGACGTGTATCTCCCAAAGTGAGGGTCTGTGGTCGCTGAGGAATAAAAGCTGGGGGGAAACCTGTCTAAAATGAGCTCTGCAGGAGCTGAAGTGGCACTGGCACTGCGCCTTTCGGCACCCCTGCCCGGCGTGGCAGAGGAATGGCCGCCTCTCCTCCCCATTAATGCGCGGCTTTTCTTTCCCTCTTGGAGCCACTGGGGAACTGGCCCTGTGACTTTCTCTGTGAGAGCAGAGAATGGAGGCAGCTGAGTAAATATAGCCTAAATCACTGCTTTCCTGGCCATTCCCCCCGCCCTTCCCTAACATGCGAAGGGCTGGTGTGTCCCCGAGGCTGGGTTGGCCTCTGCTCTAGTCATCCACTCTTCCATGATGTGGGAAAGTCCAAGCCATGGTTTGGTTTCTCTGGTGACTCTCTTCTCTGACGTGGGCAGATCATGCTTCGTCTGCCTGTGCAGTTCGTGGTGAGGGCTTCGGTCCTTCCAAAGGTGATCGCTGCCCCGAACCCTGAGATTTTAACTCGCTAGAACAAGGTTCTAAGTGCAGAGGAAAATCCTTCCTGCCCGCAGTTGAGTTCTCACTGGACAAAAAGCTCTGGGCTGGGAGAGAAACCGCGGCTCAGCTGGAATGTGGCGAGGAGCAAAGTGGTTTGTGGAGCCAGTTTGGAGCTGTGTCAGAGTGCCGGCGCTTCGTTCTGAGTGCTGGGGTATGTTTACAATGAAAAAAAAGAATATTTATAATATTGAGGGCTCTTTTTTTTAATTCCTCTGGGAATATCTGGAGCCGCAGCTTTGGAGCTCAAGTAACCGGGTAATGGAAGATAAAAAGCAAACAGAGGAAGGGACGGTGGATTTCTCAAGTTGGAAGGTCTTGCCTCTCTTAACCAATACCCGAATAATGCTGGCCTGCTAACCTGGTTGCTTCTCACCTTGTAGGTTACTTCATGTGATTGCTGCACCGTGCAGAGCTGCTAATAAATAGTCATATAAATGCCAAATCCCCCGGGGAATCTGATTTTAAGCAGATGAGTTAGCAAGAGCAGTTGGAATTTTTTTTTTCATGTGCTCGGTTTTTTTAGAACTGTAATTTTTGAGGGAAGTAGCCAAAGTACAGCTCCTGGGTTTGTTTCTGAAAAGAAAAACAACAAAAAAACCCCTAAACCCTGCCTTGTGAACGCTCCTAAAATGGAAGTAGAGTGTTCTTGCTGCTTGGGGGCTGGTGTAAAGGGAGCCTGGAGCAAAGGGATGGTGTGTTGTAGGGTGCTTGGTCCTTCTCTGCTTGGTGCTGGTGTGTAAAAGTCTCCGGCCAAGTAAAAGGCTCTTGTGGAGGGGGAGGAGAAGGCTTCTGAGGTGGGTAAGACAGGATGAGCTTCAACTGAAGCAAGAAAGTCTGACAGCAGGAGAAGCTTGACAGTCTTGGAGTAGGTCTGCAAAGTGCCTGAGGAGCTCTCAGACTGTCCAGCCTTTGAGAAGGTCACCCAGACCTCCAGTGGTCTCTCAGAAATGAGGAAGGTATCGGTCATCCCGAGGCAGGGATTTGTTAGGCTCCTCAGGTCTCAGCTAACCATAACATTTACTTTTTCAGTGAAATGTTTCAGCTATTCCTTGGCTTCCTTGGGCTTCAGGGAATAAAGCAAAATATTTATGAAATTCAACTCTTGAGCGGCAAATGCTCTGTGTCCCTGGCAAAGGGCAGCTGGTGGCCGTGGGCAGGACGCTGCCGCTCCTCTGCCTCGGTCTTTGGCTGCTTGGGAAGCCTTTCTTGGTGAGAAAAGAGGTGAAAATGGCCTTGGCTGCCCCGTGCCTCTGCTGCGATGCGGTTGCTGTCAGGACAGCAGGCCTGGCTCGGGCACGGCTCGCGGCGTAACTCCCCATCCCTGCTGCTTTCCCCAGTTTGGAGGGAAATACCAGCTGGTTTGGCAGCAGAACTGCCCTGGCTGCGTCGGTCAGAAAAACTCCAAGCAGCAGCAGTTGTCGTGATACGGCACGATGTGTTCCCTGTCCATTTTTGTTTCCATCCCTACTTGCATTGTTCTATTTTCTCTCTTTTTTTTTTTTTTAATTAAAGGAAAGGTTTGCTCTCATTGTTTGTAACCCATTAACATGTAGCGTTTTGCAAAACTGGATCTGGTGGGTTTTTTCTTTTTTTTTGCTCGCGAAGGATCTGATGGAACTTGAAAAGATTCGAGCTGTGTAGATTGTTGGAAGTGTATTCTTCTTTTAAATATTTTTACGCATTCTTTTGCCTCACTGGAGGGAAAGTAACACATAGTCTTGCTTCAAGTCAAGCTGCACTTTGAACTGCTCTTGGAACTGGGTTAAAAAGCACAGGAACCACATTTGAAACGTTAAGATGCTTTTATTTATGCGCTGGGCGCGCACAAAAAGACTTGTAATGTGTGTTTTTTTTTGTTTCAAACCGATGCATTAAACAAAGAAAGTATTGACAGCGGTTAATGAATCGAGGGATTGTTTCTGGGCGCTGAGATAGATTTACCAAAGGTATTTGAGATGTCTGATGCATGGGATTTTTTTGGGAACAGCCTAAGCAAGCGCTCGCCAGCGCGGACACGCGAGGTTCCTCTCCGAGAGCCCAGCGAACCTGGAGCCGGGCCCAGCCCAAATCTTTTGGCAAGCTGTTCCCTCTCCTGCGCACGCAGAGCCCCGGATCCGAGGTGTGCTTCCAACCCAGCAGGCTCGTGCGTGTCCCGGGCTCTGGGCTCTGCCTCCCTTCCTTCCAGAGAGCTGTTTTGGGGCAAAAAAACCTCGGCTGGTGGCTCTCCGTGGGGCGCAGAGCTTTCCTGACCCGTGGCTGCCGTCCCACACGCACAGCTCAGCCTGGGAAGCCCCTCGCTGGGTCCGTGGCAGGACAGAGGACAACTCTTTCCCCTGGAGAGGACGGTGCCAGCATTATCTGTGTGGATTTGGGTTTCCTGGGGGGCTCCTCACCCGGTTTCTTGGGTGCTTGATCCCCACGTGGGCTGAGCGTGGGGAAGGCAGGTGAGGCTGCTCCGGGACCAGGCTGGTTCAAAGTTATCTCTATTTTTTTTTTCCATGTTCCCAGCGACCCGCTGGTGGCACGGAGCTGCGTCTCCACGTTCCCACTGCAGGGAAAGGAGGCTGGAAGGAGTCAGAGGAGCAGCTGGGACCTGCTTTTTCGGAGAGACTCCGTGCTCCGGGGCCACTTCCCACCCCTTTCCGCGCAGGTCTGCTTTTAAAAGCCACTGAACGAGTTTGCCAGGGCTGAACGTTTTGTCCTTCCAGGCTCTTCGGCTGCACCAGCTTGTCTGAGGCGCCCGGAGTCGGGGCTGGGATCCACGGGTGGAAGCTGGGGAGGTGCCCAGAGGAGGGGGAGCCTCAACCCCCCCGCTGGATTTGGGGGTCTGTCCTCTCCTGGGGGGAGCAGGAGGTCTGTCCTCTATGGGGTGGGAGGAGCGGGAGCTGCCGGCATCTTTCCCAGGCTCTGTCAGACCCTGAGAGGGAGCCTTCAGAGGGGCGAGGGGCAGGCAGTGAGCCTGGTCGTAAATCTTTCTCTGGATGATGAAGTAATATTTTCCTGGCTGGGACTGGTTGGACTGGGGGGGAAACGCAGGCTCCGCTGCGAATTTCCCTGCGGCCGCCAGCCCGGCGTGGTGGGAGCTTGCAGGGCGGCCGTGCTGGGATGTGCCACTTCTCCTGCCAACACCCTTTGTCCCCAGGGTCTCTCCAGGAGTCCTGCAGCCTGGGGTTGCTCCGGAGAAGCTCTCCAGCCACCTGGATCAGGCTCAGTCCTGTTCCCTACCCTCCAAAACCTGGCCACCAGTGTCTTGCCTCCCCACGGGCAGTGCCTGCTCGTTCATGGCAAAGACAGCCCAGCTGGGACGCTTGCCCGAGCTCAGGTGCTGGCAGCACAGATTTCATATGCCCTGGCCTCTTTGTGCCTCTCTTTTTTTGGCAAGGGAAGGAGCCCACAGCATGGTTGGTGCTGGACTGGTGGGTCTGGCTACATAGAGGTGAAGTTGGCTCCTCTCGAGGGACTCGCAGCCATCTCAGGCTGGAGGAAAGAGGGGTTTGTAACCCACGTGAGCTGTAACGTGTTGCTGGGATGAAAGAGTTATTTTGAAATCCTTGCAGATCACCAACTTTAGTGCCTCTCGCAGCATCCAACCAGGGCTGGGAGCAGCCTTGGCTTCGTGCCGGGCTTGGTTGTGCGTTGACCCCGCCGGGAAGGGTGCCCTGGCTCCCTTTGCCTCCTCCCCTCCCTCCTCAGAGGCTCCAGCAGCCCTGAGAAGCGCCTTCCTGCTCGCTAATAGTTTTCAGATGAGACTCAAGAGTTTGAGCTGGGTTTTGGTGGTTTCTGGGCCCAAACAGCTCAAGCTGTTAATAGGACCCGTGGCGTTTCAGCAGGGATGGGGTGTCCCTGGGAAGGCTGGTTGCTGGCTGCCCCCTGTGCCTTTAGGTCCGTTCCTCCACCACCACATGCCATGGCTGCGGGAATGGGAGCACTGGGATTTGCCTGGGGGAGGTGGAAAACTGGCCTGTGAGGCTGGGAGGGGATGGGAAAAGAGAACATGCCCGGCTGGTGGGAATGCCCCCAGTTCATATATCCCTTCCCCAACATGTTATAACCCAGGTTTGTTCTTTTTGGTGGATTTCTGGGCAGGGCAGGCAGCATATTCTTCAATTTCTCTCTGAATAGCTGAAAGGCAGTTAGCAGTTCTAAGCAGACTTGGAGGCTTCTGAAGATTATTTCAACTCCCCTCACCTCCATCTCTGCAAAAAGAACCCGTGCCCGCACTTGATGCTGTTGCTGCTTTTGAAAAGTTCAAAAATTTACTTTGCTCAGAGCAAAGCTTTGAAGTGCTGCTCTGTGGGAATGGCAAAGCATCTCAAAAGCCTTTCACTGAGAGCTCGGTTAACCTACATTTGTGGGCAGCTACCTTCAGAAAACGACTTTGTGGGGGATCGCACGGGGAGATGTAAAGGTGAACTGTGAAATTTAATCGATTTAACAAGAAAAGGTTAAATCTGTTTGTTTTGCTCCTATTCAGGGCCTCCAGCTGGTGGGTGCAGGGTCACCCTTTTCTGTATGCAAAAGTTCCTGTATAAAGGCTGTTTTGTCCCACTTGTTGTCTTCTTGTTTGCATAAGTGCTGCGAGGAGGGTGAGCTGAAGAAGCAGGAGTTGAACCTCTTTAAGATGCAGAGCTGGTGCCTGGTTGTAGCAGAGAGGAGGTGGCATTCCAGCACACAGCCACTGGCTCCTCGCTTGCTTTTTGGGCGAGTAAATTGGTATTAAGAGGGTTCTGGTTGGATCCAGGGCTTCTCATCAGCTGGTAGGTAGGAGAGAAACGAGTCCTGCCTCTCTCTGCTGCTCAGGTGAACCCCTAGTTTTAACCTTGGCGTCTCAGGAGGGTGTGGGGTGCCTGGCTGTGCAGTGACAAGTCTTCTTCTCTCTGCAGGTACTGGGAAGGGACACGTAGCATGCCACACCGTCCTGGGCTGGAAACCTGCCCTGCTTTTGCCCCCTGGACTCCAAGAAACCGGCTTCTTTTTTGGTGAAGCAGCCCCCCATCTCCTCTTTCTTTGCTGCATGCCCGCTCGCCAGTGCTGGATTATGTTTGTCTCCTTCTCCCTTTGCTCCATAATTTGGTTGAATCGTGGTTTCAAGCTAAGGAAAAGGGGCTGCACCTAAGCTTGCCGGGGGCACCCGGACCTGGCTGCTGGGGTGCTGATTCCCAGAGAGACATTGGGAGAGCTGATGGGGAAGAGCTGCCTCTGAGATCCCTCCTCTCCTGCCCGACACGCGCTGCCTCGCCGTTCAGAGCCCTTCTCCCCACGACAGAATGGGCAGCACCGATGGGTTCCAGTACCGTGCGCTCTACCCCTACCGCAAGGAGCGGGAGGAGGACATCGACTTGCTGCCTGGGGACATCCTGGTGGTGAGCAAAGGGGCCCTGCAAGCTTTGGGCTTCAAAGATGGGGATGAGCAGACCCCCAATCAGATCGGGTGGATCCTGGGCGTCAACGAGAGGACCAAGCAGAAGGGTGACTTTCCTGGCACGTACGTGGAGTACGTGGGGCCCGTGAAGATCTCCGTCCCTTCTCACCGGCCCCGGGTGCAGAGACCCCTCCCCGCCACGCCGGGGGCCAGCGGCTGCCGGCTGCAGGAGGCTCTGGAGCAAGGTAAGCCTTTCTTGTGTTGCCCCAGGACACTTCTGCTCTCCGTGTGTGGCAGAGAAGGGGGTGTGAGTGGCTTTGCAGGACAGCGGTGAAGCCCTCACCTCGGCTCGGTGGTGCTGGATTGCCCTGCCGGCAGCAATGTGGTTGAGTTTTCTGGGAATTGTGGGTTCACACTCAGTCGTGGCCAAAAGAAAAGCACGTTGTTCCTCCAGTTTATCATAGAATCATAGAATGGTCTAGGTTGGAAGAGACCCTTGGGATCATCGAGTCCAACCATCTCCCCTACTCTACAAAGTCCTCCCCTACACCATGTCCCTCAGCACTGCATCTAAACGGCCCTTAAACACAGCCAGGGATGGGGACTCCACCCCCTCCCTGGGCAGCCTGTTCCAAAACATGGTCTAGCTCTAGGCAATCCTGCTTCAGCAGGGGAGTTGGACTAGATGATCTCTATGGTCCCTTCCAACTCTAAAAAATTCAGTGAAATTCAGTGAAATTCAGTTGTTCCTCCAGCTTGTCATAGAATCATAGCATGGTCTAGGTTGGAAGAGACCCTTGGGATCATCGAGTCCAACCATCTCCCCTACTCTACAAAGTCCTCCCCTACACCATGTCCCTCAGCACTGCATCTAAACGGCCCTTAAACACAGCCAGGGATGGGGACTCCACCCCCTCCCTGGGCAGCCTGTTCCAGTGTCTGACCACTCTTTCTGTGAAAAATTCCTTCCTAATGTTCAATCTAAACCTCCCCTGTTGGAGCTTGAAGCCGTTCCCTCTCGTTCTGTCACTAATGACCTGTGAGAAGAGACCAGCACCAACCTCTCTACAGTGTCCTTTCAAGTAGTTGTAGAGAGTGATGAGGTCTCCCCTCAGCCTCCTCTTCCCCACACTAAACAGTCCCAACTCCCTCAGCCGCTCCTCATACGATTTCTTTTCCAGATTTATCAATTTGCTTAGCGGAGCTTTTTGGGGCGAGCCTTATCCCACTGTTACATTTCCAAGCTCCTTCTCCCTCTCTGGCCCGTGACAGTCCAGGATCCCTGTGCTCTTTGCTCTGTCTCCTTGCTCCGCTGAGAATTTTGCTCCGCTCCCTCCCTTCAGGAATCAGTCCTGACCTCTCCCAACCACATCCCTGCCTCTGCCTCCAGAGCGCCTGGGGCATTGCTCTCTGCCAAGAGCCTGCTCAGCCCCGCTGAGACACACAATTACTTGTCTCTGGGCAAGAGGAGAAAAAGTCAGGGTCTAAATGAGTACTTCTGAGAACTGGAGCTAATTGCTTGTCTGCTTGGCACTCGGCCCTCCCCCCCGTGATCGAGCTCTGGCCGGGGCTGGGGAGCTGCCCTCGGGCAGGGCATGGCCCGTCCTGCACCTGTGGCTGCCTCCTGCACTTGGCACGGACCCGGTCCCAGAGCTGGAAGAGCCACCAGGCCCCAGCTCTGCCCGTAGAGCTGTGGCAGCTGCCTTCTCTTTGCCTTTTTGGGTGTTTTTTTTTGCTGCCAGGCACACTGGGCAGGGGCTGGGAGCTCTGAGATGGCAAACAGGGGTGATAGCCACCCTTTGCCTTCTCAAGCCTCGCAGAAGACCTTGTGCTGGTGCACACAGGAGAAGAGTCAGCAGCAGGAGCTGGTGGGCATCAGAGCATGGTCCTGGCTGGAAGTTCTGCATCCTCCCGATCCCTTTCTGCCTGGGAGCCACAGCTGTCCCATCAGATGCTTCTTAGCTGTGCAAAACATCTCTGGGAGATTCTTAAAGAGTGGAAATATCTCAGAAACTAGGGTGGTGGGGCTGGGTGGGCTGCTCCCTCCTGTGCTCCTGCTCCTGGAGCCGGAGGGGTGGCCCCAGGAAACATCTCCTCAGGGTGGGAATGTGGCCGGGCCCTGCGCTTGGGTTGGCAGCGAGAGCCGCTGCCCTGAGTCATCCCACTCACAACCTGCCTTTCCAAGAAAGCAGCTCCTCTTGGGAGCCTGGGGCATGCTCTGCGGTGGATGCGTCGGCCTTGCCTGCATCCAGCCCTGCTCTCCCTCGGGGGCTGGATTTATGCCTTCGTGGGGCTCTCTCTCCTCCTCTTCTTCTCAAGCAGGGTTTGGTGGAGGTGTGGTTGGGTGGTCAAAGCCGCTGCCCTTGCACAGGGGTGGGGATCTTTGGGATGTGGAAGGAGATACGTGCCAAAGCTCCTGACACACAGAAAAGATGTGGTTAGGGGAAAAAAAAAAAAAACAACACAAAAGCCAGCCTGTCTGTGTCCTGCCCGGGGATGGAGCAGAGAGAAGTTTGGGTACCAGGGCACAGGAGAGGGATGCCAGCACTGTCCCTGTCCCCTCTGGCTGCATCCCCAGGGCCAAACTCCACCTTGGGCACAGCTGGTGCCTGCAGTTATTCAAAAGCCCCAGGCCCATTTTACATGCTGAGATGTTGGGGTTGGGGGGGAGACACATTTTTTGCAACCAAGAGACTGTATTTAAGCCAAGCCCCTGTTATTTCTTCGTGGTCTGCACTTTGGGCGGTGCAGAGATGCCTCCTGGCTGCCCCACAGAGCTCAGAGCTGGTGGCGTTTCTGCCCTGTTTCCCAGGTCCTGCCTTGGCTGGCAGGGATTCGGTGCAGAGATGCCTCCTGGCTGCCCCACAAAGTCAGAGCTGGCAGCATTTCTGCCCTGTTTCCCAGGTCGTGCCTTGGCTGGCAGGGATCTACTTGAGAGGACACTGTAGAGAGGTTGGTGCTGGTCTCTTCTCACAGGTCATTAGTGACAGAATGAGAGGGAACGGCTTCAAGCTCCAACAGGGTGGGTTTAGATTGAACATTAGGAAAGAATTTTTCACCCAAAGAGTGGTCGGGCATTGGAACAGGCTGCCCAGGGAGGGGGGGGAGTCCCCATCCCTGGCTGTGTTTAAGGGCCGTTTAGATGCAGTGCTGAGGGACATGGTGTAGGGGAGGACTTTGTAGAGTAGGGGAGATGGTTGGACTCGATGATCCCAAGGGTCTCTTCCAACCTAGACCATTCTATGATCCCTTGGTCCCCCCGGTGTCACACAGCCCGGGGACACGGTGCCATCTTCCAACCTGAATGATTCTATGATCCTTTGGTCCCCCCAGTGTCGCACAGCCCAGGGACACGGTGCCACGGCTGTCACACAGCCCGGTGGCAGGGCTGGCCCTTGTAGAGTGACGCAGCCCCGGCGTTTTCTGCCGGTGAATTTACGAGCTGCTGGTTGTTTGCCTTCCGCCGAGAAGGCGAGCGGAAAATGCGGCTCGGAAATATTTCCGCAGCTGCCCCGGCCGTGCTGTGAGCAGCCTTGTTCACAGTGGCCCAGCCCGGAGGCCCAGCAGGCTCAGGAGCCACTGCTGGCTCCAGCACAGCCTGCTTGATAAAAAAAAAAGAAAAAAAAAAAAGGCAAGCTGCTGCCTGCTGAAGCAGCACATTCCCGGCCGGGCCACGTGGGCAGCACCAGTATTTACTCTCCCTTCAGCCCTTCCCAAGGGTCAGGCTCGGAGCTGCCAGCCTGGCAGCCAGCCTGCAGCTTCTCCACCCTGAGCAAGCACCATACTGGTCCCATTCCTGCACCCAGGAGCTCTTTCTGGTGGGGGATCACCCCCTCCCCAGCAGAACTGCTGGGTGCCTGTCCCATTCCTTCCCCTTTCTGCAGCTTTGTCTTCCCGGCGAGGCTCTGGGTGCGGAGTTTCAGCTCGCTGTGCCTCTTGGCAAGACCACACCGGGCGAGTTGGGGTCAGATCCATGACAACAGAGCCGTGTTTCGCAACGGGGCGCAGCTTTCTGGCTCTTCTTCCCCAAAGTGGAGCGTGCTGGGTGTCTTCACCGACACCGTGGGCTCCCCCAGGGTCTGCACCGGCCCGGAGGAGCCTCCTGCATCGGCTGGTGCTCAGTTGGAAGCAAGATAGGTCCTTGGCACTGCTTATCCCTTCGGCAAACCTCCCGCTGGCAGCATCCCGGCCGGGCCTGCGTGTTCCTGCCCTGGCATGTGTCACCCCTCCAGCACCAGGGAAGGAGGTTGCCTGGAGCCAGGACCTCAAGATCTTCTGGAGGTGGCAGTGGAATGCCACCTGATGGGGTGTCATAGATCCCCTGTGATGTGAGGGGGGACCCCCGTCCCGTGGGCTGTCTGTGCTCCGTAACAGCTTGCAGGGAGGCTGTGGACTCGCGGGGAGGGGGAGTCAGAGGGCTGGTTTCCATGTTAAACGAGCAATCAAGGGCAGGAATTTGCTGACACGGCGTTCTGTCTGAATTGCTGGATTAATCACAGCTCACCACCAGGAGCGAGCTCCCCGGCTGCTCTCCTCCGCCAGCCCTGTGCTGGGCAGGCACCTGAGCTCTGGGAGCCCTGGTAACCCCTGCACTGCCTGCCCGGGGTGCCCAGGGAGGTGGGCTTTGCCTCCTGGACTCTGCAAGGACCCCCCTGGGCACGTACCGTTGGGGGCTTGGAGCAAGGCTGGGCTCAACAAGTGCTGTGCTGGTTTCTGGGCCAGCTCACTGGATCCCTGTGGCCTCCGTGCAGGGGCCATGGCTTTCCCCACTCTTGGGAGGCTGCCGTTGGGAGGAACGTTGGTTGTGCCCCGGGGGCTAAGCTGGGGGGCTGACCCCTTCTCTCCCTCCCTCTCCCCCCAGGCTCTCCTCTCCCAGACTTGCAGGAGCAGTTCAGCCCTCCTGAGGTTGCACCACCGCTGCTGGTGAAGCTGGTGGAAGCTATTGAGAAGAAAGGTAAGGGCAGGGGAAGGGGATGATACCCTCAAAACCCCCCAGTGAGGGCAGGGGGGGAGGCAGCTGTCTTTAAAAGCTGTTGGCGTTGGACCCAGCTCCACGGCACATGTAGGACACAGCTGCCTGCAGAAAGGGGGGGGCTGCTGCTTCTCCCTGGCTTGAGCTGCCGTTCCCCAAAGCTTGAACCCTGCTGTGCCATCCTGCACAGAGGCCTGGGATGAAGCTACTGGGTCTACACACAGGGTGTCTACACCCCTTGGGTGGGTGCTGGGGTTTGGGAAACACTTCCAGCCCGGATCTGTGCCGTGGTGGGTATAGATGGCCACTCAACTGGGTGTCCTGGGAGCCAAGGGGACAACTGGGTGTCCTGGGGGGGCCCAAGGGAGCTGCAGCAGCATCTGCAGGAGGTTGGCGTGGTTGGTGTGTGGCTGCCAGGCTGGCACCGAAACGGCGTGCGCGGCGGGGAGCTGCGAGGCTCAGAGCTCACAGCAGTGTGTGTCCCCGCTTCCGCAGGGGTAGACAGCGAGATGTTGTACAGGACATCTGGCTCCGAACTGAGGCAAGCGCTGAGAACCGGTAAGAACCAGCTCCGCGCGGTGAGGAGGCGAATCTGCTCAGATGGAGGAGATTAGTGGCTGTGACAGCGCCAGCAGTAATGCAATCCAGGCCGGGCTCGCCTGTCCCCGGCAGTTCCTGACTCCCAGCACGCTGCCTCTGGGGCTGGGCTGGCCCTATCCCAACACGTCCCCCTCTCGCGTGGAAGGGACAGGAGAAGGGAGAGGGATCTGCCACTGCCCCGTGGGCTGGAGCGAAAGGGACGTGGCACCGACTCGGAGAGTCACCGAGTGAACCCCTGCTCTCCCCTCTTCGGGGTGCCCCGCTCTCAGGGTGCTCTGGCAGAGGCTTCTGTGTCTGCTCGCCTGTCCCCGGCAGTTCCTGACTCCCGGCACGCTGCCTCTGGGGCTGGGCTGTCCTGTGGAGGAGATTAGTGGCTGTGACAGCGCCAGCAGTAATGCAATCCAGGCCGGGCTCGCCTGTCCCCGGCAGTTCCTGACTCCCAGCACGCTGCCTCTGGGGCTGGGCTGGCCCTATCCCAACACGTCCCCCTCTCGCGTGGAAGGGACAGGAGAAGGGAGAGGGATCTGCCACTGCCCCGTGGGCTGGAGCGAAAGGGACGTGGCACCGACTCGGAGAGTCACCGAGTGAACCCCTGCTCTCCCCTCTTCGGGGTGCCCCGCTCTCAGGGTGCTCTGGCAGAGGCTTCTGTGTCTCTGTGTCGTGGTTTCAGCCGAAATCACCGCAACCGAACCAACAGATGGCCCTTCCCCCCCAAAAAAGGAGAGGAAGAGATAAGGAGATTGAAAAGTTTAGAGTTAACTAAACTACTTTAATGAAAAATAATATTAAAATAAAAGAGAAGAAAATAATGAAATAGATACAACACATATACAAAACCGTATGACAGTCCCGTCACCAGCAGGCACTGGGGAAGTCCCAGACTGGACTCGGTGATGGACAGGAGCAGGATTCCAGCTCTGGAGTCAGGAACACACGGATCGGGATCAAAGGCAGATGAACAGACAGGGTCCTCTTCGGACATCGGCCATTGCAGGAAGAGTTGACCCTTTGATCCCTCAGCTTTTATACTGAGCATGGGGCAGAGGGGATGGAATACCCCAGTTGGTCAGGTTTGGGTCACCTGTCCTGGCCGTTCCTCCCCACAGATGTGACCCCTCTATGTTTTTCCGTTTCCGACCCTCTAAGGGGCAAATAACGAAAATTGGCTGCCCTTGGTTGTTATAGCAATAAGTATAAGCAAGGGCCTCTCTGCACACCATTCCCTGGCATGTAGCACAAACATTGGTCTGATCACTCTGAGAAGGAACAGTTTTCTCCACGATATGCCATTAATTTCAGAGAGTTAGAAAAGGCCTAATTAAAATACAAAATTACAGAACACAAAATTGATCCGGTTTTACCTCCAACCGGGACACTCTGTCACGCCACTAAGGAGCAGGGGAGGATCTTTGAGCTCAGCTCGGTGGCAGGAGCCTTGGCTCCGCTCTGCCAGGAAGCCTTGGGAGCTGTCTGCCTCTCGCCTGGGCTTGGGCTTCATCCAGCACCAACACCAGCTTGTCCCCTTCCACACACGTTCTTACAAACCCCATCCACACCACGCTGTCAGCTCTGGCCACGTTGCTTTTGGGGACAAGGCTTTATGTGCTGTCCCCACAGCCCATTCCTTGCCTTTTGTGGGCCAGCACAGATGGAGGGAGATGTTTTTCCCCCTTGGGTTTGGTCTGTGGCTTGTCTCTACCACCAGCAGGGAACACAATTGTCACACGAGTCGTGCGTGCCCAGGAGTCCTGTGGGAGGGCTCAGGGCAAAGGGTGTGGGCACCCAAAACGGCCTGGATTCCCAGAGCCTGCTTATTTTTGGGGTGCAGAGGGCACTTCCAGGCGTCCTCGGTTGTGTGGGCTGCCTGAGCTCCCTCCTGGTGGTGCCAGGTTGTTGTGTCCTGTGAGAGCTGGCCAGGTGGCATGTGGTGGTCTCTGGGGTGGGTGCTGGCAAGCACCGGAGCCACCAGCTGGGTGCCCAGCTCTGTTCCTGCCACCCATGGGTGATCTGTGCCCTGACAGATTGGACCCTGGGCGACCTGGAGCCCTTCGACGTGCACTCCCTGGGCGAGGCGCTGCGAGGTTACCTGCAGGACCTGCCCTCCCCCGTGGTGCCGGTGGCGGTGCACGGAGACATCCTTCGTGTCCTGCAGGGTAAGGGCTTCCCCCCCCCCCCAACCCCGGGCCGTGCTTGGGAACGGGTGACTGGGCACGGACGGATACATTTTGGGGTATTAAAATAAATCCTGTCCCTGCGGGGTCTGGCACACGGCCCCCGCTGCCGCCAGCGCTCCCAGGCCGTGACGCAGCTGGAGCGTGGACGGCCCTGCTGGCTGTCCCAACCCTTCCATCGTGGCTTGTTCTCTTCCCCAGAGATTCCCCAGCCGGAGAATTGCCGGAAGCAGCTGTTGCTGGCCCTGGAATCGCCTGCGGTCCCACTCCAGAACACGCTCACCCTGCAGTTCCTGCTCCGGCATCTGGGGAAGGTATCGCAGCAGGCAGAGAGCAACAACCTCCACCCTCGGGCCCTGGGAGAGATCTTCGGCCCCCTTCTCCTCCGCCTGCCTGGCGCCAGGTACGTGAGGCTCTGGGCTTCCAGCCGGGCACCGAGCGGCCACCGCTGTGCCTGCCAGCACTAGGAGTCCAGCCTGTAGCAGCAGCTCTGCCCACAGCCCCTGCCTCGCTGCCTGTGGGGGATTAAACTGCTGGCAGCACACTGAGGTGGGACTCAAAGCTGGGGCAGAGCCCTTGCTTCTGGGTCAGCCTGGGATTTGGCAGCTGGGATGACCCCAGCTGCCCCTCTTCCTGGTGGGGCACGGGAGCAGTGCCGAGTTCTCCCCCACAACCGCTGCTCTTGGCTCCTCTTTGCAGCCCAGAGCTGAGCCCTGACTTCTCCGTGCTGTTTCTGGAGATGCTGCTGCAGACGAAGGAGTTGGAGCCAGAACAGTTGCCTCCAGGTACAGAGATGCCCTTTCTTTGAGGCCCGAGGCGCTGGCATTTGTACTCTGTGGGTGTGGAGTCTCTACCCCCGTGAGCAGGTTGCCGAGGGCATTTCTGTAGCCCAGCTGTGCCTGGATACCTGCTCGAGGCCCTCATCTGCTGCTGTGGATGTGCCTGGAGCAGCTCCTGGCAGCGTGGTGGCCAAGTGAGATGCTGCTGCAGACGAAGGAGTTGGAGCCAGAACAGTTGCCTCCAGGTACAGAGATGCCCTTTCTTTGAGGCCCGAGGCGCTGGCATTTGTACTCTGTGGGTGTGGAGTCTCTACCCCCATGAGCAGGTTGCTGAGGGCATTTCTGTAGCCCAGCTGTGCCTGGATACCTGCTCGAGGCCCTCATCTGCTGCTGTAGATGTGCCTGGAGCAGCTCCTGGCAGCTTGGTGGCCAAACGGGGCTTCTCAGGATGGTCATTGCATGGAGGGGGGGACTCAGTGCTCCGAGGAGTTGACCTCAGCAAGGGGTGGAGCTGGGACTTGGGTTCACCCTGCTCCAATCTTGCTTCTCTTACAGCTTTGCCTCCAAAACCACCGAAGCCAAAGCCCAGCGCAGCCAGCCTGGCCAACGGGAACAGCGTGCCCTTGCAGGACGCCGAGTGGTACTGGGGGGACATCTCCCGGTAAGGGGGGGGCTGGTGGCTCACGTCCTGGGTGCCCTGTCTCCGTCGGGTCATCTAGGGAGAAGCCCTGGTTGCACCTCAATGGGCCGTGACAATCGTGTTCCTTGCAGGGAGGAGGTGAACGAGAAGCTTCGGGACACACCAGATGGTACCTTCTTGGTGCGTGATGCCTCCAGCAAGATCCAGGGGGAGTACACACTCACGCTCAGGTGGGGTGCTGGGGTCCCCCGAGAGCCTCCACTGCTCCAGGGTGGAGTTGTTGGCACTTGTCTCCGTGCTTATGGCTACCTGGATGGTGCTGGGGGTGGTGGTGGTGGTGCTAAGTGTCCTCTCTCTTCTCCCCGCTGCAGGAAGGGAGGCAATAACAAGCTGATCAAGATCTTCCACCGGGAAGGGAAGTACGGCTTCTCGGAGCCCCTGACCTTCGGCTCGGTGGTGGAGCTCATCACCCATTACCGGCACGAGTCACTCGCCCAGTACAACGCCAAGCTGGACACCAGGCTGCTCTACCCCATCTCCAAGTACCAGCAGGTGAGGGCTTGTGCCACGGGGACAGGGCTAGCCAACACAGCCTGAACCAGGGGTGTTTGCTTGTCCATCCCTGGCCCTTTCACAGAATCATAGAATGGTCTAGGTTGGAAGAGACCCTTGGGATCATCGAGTCCAACCATCTCCCCTACTCTACAAAGTCCTCCCCTACACCATGTCCCTCAGCACTGCATCTAAACAGCCCTTAAACACAGCCAGGGATGGGGACTCCACCCCCTCCCTGGGCAGCCTGTTCCAATGCCCTTTGGTAGATGACAGTGTGCCACCCCTTCCCCTGTGCTGGGGTGTTGCTTTGTGGGGTGACAGGCCTCCTGCCCGGCTGGTGGGGTTTCATGGCACCAGCCGCCTTGCAGAGGGGCTGCTGTCGGGCAGGAGCAGATCCTGACTGAGGCTGTGCTTGTGGCAGGACCAAGTGGTGAAAGAGGACAGCGTGGAAGCCGTGGGGGAGCAGCTGAAGGTCTATCACCAGCAGTACCAGGACAAGAGCTGGGAGTACGACCTGCTGTACGAGGAGTACACGCGCACTTCCCAGGTATGCAGGCTTTGCCTTCCCCACGGGCTGCCCTGAGGTCCCCTGGTCACTGGCAGTTGGGGGAGAGCAGAGATGGGGCACCCACTGCCCCATTTATCTGCTCCTGGACTTGGGGGGACTCCCCAGAGAATGGGGTTTTGAAGAGGGGGGGATATTTTGGCTACAGCAAGGACAGTGCTGCTGTGGGGAAGGAGGAGAGAGGGGATGGAAACGGGCAGAAATGTGCCCAAATCCTGCCCCTTCCTCAGCTCTCTCTTCCCTTTTCAGGAGCTGCAGATGAAGAGGACTGCAATCGAGGCCTTCAACGAAACCATCAAGATCTTTGAGGAGCAGTGTCAGACGCAGGAGAAATGCAGCAAGGAGTACATCGAGCGCTTCCGACGGGAGGGCAACGAGAAGGAGGTGCAACGGTGAGGACAGGGGGGCTGGTGGTGACCTGTCCTGCCTGGGGGAGGTCTCTAGGGGGCTGGAAGGATCATCCTGACCCAGCACAGAGCCGAGGCACGTCCAATCCCTGTCTCTCCAGCAGCATGCTGTGGGCTGGAGCTGGCAGGCAGCCTCCTCTGCCTTCCCCCACTCTGGCTCGAAGCCTAAAACCCTTTCCCTCCCCCCCCTCCTCCTCCTTCTCCCAGGATCCTCATGAATTCGGAGAAGCTCAAGTCTCGCATCACGGAGATCCACGACAGCAAGATGAAGCTGGAGCAGGACCTGAAGAAACAAGCCTCGGAGAACCGGGAGATCGACAAGCGCATGAACAGCCTCAAGCCAGACCTCATGCAGCTGCGCAAACTGCGGGACCAGTATTTGGTGTACGTAGTGCCTGCCCCCCCCCGCAGAGGGGCTGGGACTTGGGGGCCCTCTACCCCCTCCACCCCAGCCCGGGAGCGAGCCAGCTGGCTCCTTGAGGGTTTTGAGGCTTGTTGGACCGGCTTGTGGGCTGCTGGGTGCAGGAGGGAGCCCTGTGGCTAGCAGCCGGGGGGCACGGCGAGCCCTCAAAGGGGGAGGGCTGCTGCCCTCTGGCGATGGCTCCGGGACTGTCTGGCTGGGATGCCACAGGCCGGGCTCACTGCCTGCACTGAGCTCTTCCTCTCCTTCCCCAGGTGGCTGACGCAGAAGGGAGCCCGGCAGAAGAAAATCAACGAGTGGTTGGGCATCAAGAACGAGACGGAGGAGTGAGTATCCCCACTCGTGTTTTGGGGGATGTGGGGGGGTCACAGGAGCCGGTTCTGCCTCCTCCGGGGGGCACGGGCAAGTCCCATCTCCTTCCCTGGGAGCTGAGGATGTGTCCTCTACTGGAAGGGGTGACAGCAGCTAGAAGTGGGGGGTGAGATGTAGGGGCACGTGCCCAAAGGAAGGGAGCCTGACCCTGCCCGTGCTCGACTGCAGCCAATACTCCATGATGGACGACGAGGAGGAGCTGCCCCACCACGAGGAGCGGACGTGGTACGTGGGGAAGATCAACCGCCTGCAGGCCGAGGAGATGCTGTGCGGGAAGAGGGACGGCACCTTCCTCATCCGCGAGAGCAGCCAGAAGGGATGCTACGCCTGCTCCGTGGTGTGAGTAACCCCCTGAGTGGATGTGGTGGGATGGAGCTGGCATGGGATGTGCTCCTGCCATCCCTCTCCCCTTTTCTCTCCCCTTTTCTCTCCCCTTTTCTCTCCCCTTTTCTCTCCCCTTTTCTCTCCCCTTTTCTCTCCCCTTTTCTCTCCCCTTCCCTCCTCTCCCCTTCCCTCCTCTCCCCTTCCCTTCTCTCCCCTTCCTCCTCTCCCCTTCCTCCTCCCCTTCTCTCCTCTCCCCCTCTCTCCTCGCCCCTTCTCTCCTCTCCCCTTCTCTCCTCTCCCCTTCTCTCCTCTCCCCTTCTCTCCTCTCCCCTTCTCTCCTCTCCCCTTCTCTCCTCTCCCCTTCTCTCCTCTCCCCTTCTCTCCTCTCCCCTTCTCTCCTCTCCCCTTCTCTCCTCTCCCCTTCTCTCCTCTCCCCTTCTCTCCTCTCCCCTTCTCTCCTCTCCCCTTCTCTCCTCTCCCCTTCTCTCCTCTCCCCTTCTCTCCTCTCCCCTTCTCTCCCCACGTCCTGGAGGTGTTGGCTGGCACGATGGCCTTCCCCGAGGTCTCCCATCTCCCTGGGTGCCTCCTGCCATGCCTAGATGTATTTTTGGGCTGCTGTGTGGTGTCACCGCTTGTGCTCTGTTGTCCCTGTCCCGGTGCCACTGACCCCTGCTCCCTTGTGTCCCTGGCAGGGTGGACGGTGACACCAAGCACTGCGTGATCTACAAAACGGCGACGGGCTACGGGTTCGCCGAACCCTACAACCTCTACGCCTCCCTCAAGGACCTGGTCTTGCACTACAAGCACACGTCCCTGGTGCAGCACAATGACTCCCTGAATGTCACGCTGGCTCACCCGGTCCTTTCCCAGCCTCCGGCCAGATGAGCAGCCCGTGCACAACACAACAGCTGCCTTCAGCTTCTCCCCAGGGCGCTGCTTTCTGGCTCTGGACTCTCGCACCCTGTATAGTTGAGTCTCTGTGCTCCTGCCCCTCCAGAGCCTCCGAGATGTCTGTTTTGACCGTTCCTGGTGTCCCTTTTTGGTCAGTAGCTGAAACCCGTGTTGGCTGATGGGACAAAAAGGCTGGGCTGTTGAACTCCCAGCGGGCTCCAGCCTCTAGGAGGTGGGATCCGGTTGTGATTGAATTGCTGTGGGCGAGCACAGCCCCTTCCCCTTCCCCGATAAGCAAGTCCAGATCCCCTTCTTGCTGGCAGGTCGCCCCGCTGCGCATCACTGTAGAGCTAGATTCCTGATTTCTCGGCACGCTACGGCGTCGGTCGCTGCTCTGAGCGAGGGTTCTCCCTGCCTGGATGCCAGAGGAGGCAGAGGAGGAGGCTGGGCTGAGCGTGTGCATCCTCCACTCTCACTTCCCTCGGTGATTTTGTGGGTGTCTGGTACGAGGGGTGCTGCTCTTCCCCGCAGAGACTCGTTCCGAAAGGAGAAACCCCATCCTCCCTGCGGCTTCTGGGCCGAGGGCTCCGCTCCTTGCCGTGCCCCACCTCCCCCTCTTCTTCCCTCCTGTCGTAACCACCCCTCGAGTGTTTCTGTCTGCGGAGGGAGGATCCAGCTCGCCATGAATCTCTCACCTTCCTCGTGCCAGCTAAGCTGTGAAATCCGTGTTGGTACCCGTGGGTTTTCCTGGCCGGAATCTGTGGGACGCACAGCTCGTTTCTGGGAGTCTCTGCGAATGGATGTAACCCA